ATATCTGTAGAGATATGGTATGAGTTTAAATATCAAATTTAGTTATATGATAGAGTGTAAAAATCTCTACCAGTATAACAATATCACTAGAAGATATTTTGATTACTTCATTAACTTATACCGTTTCTCTACCAGTATAACAATATCACTAGAAGATATCTTGATTAGTTCATTAACTCATATCATTTCTCTGCAGATATAATAATATCTCTAGAAGGCATTTTGATTAATTCTTTAACTTATACCATTTCTCTACCAATATAAAATTAGATGTTCAAATTAGTTTTGTTTCTGATTAATCATTCTACAAATTAAAAGAAGAAAAAAAAATATCCTTCGAAATAACTAATATATTAGCAAATGTTTAAAATTCATTCAACCATATTGGTAAAATCTAAAAAGAAGAAATTTTTTGAAATTTGAATTTAAACATTGAAAGGTTTACATACCCACTAGCTAGCATAACGTTACCAAAGGAAGGAGAAAATCTCATCTCTTCTTCGTCACTATTCTTGAGAAAATGTTGACAACGATCTTCAGTGGAACTCAATGACGATGACAGTTCAATTGAGGATCGATTTCGATATTCAGCGCTACTACGTGAAGGACAACTCGTGGCGCTATTGTCCATGTATAATGTAAAATTCAACAAGATGAAATGAGCGCTTCGATACACCAAATATTATGTTTTTGCTATTACCAGTTATTAAATACTTATTTAATCAAATACTACTGCTAAATTTCTAAAAATGTAATAACTTATCATACCTGTGAGATGAGAAGAAAAAAAATGATAAATTTGAAAAATGAAAAATTCATTTTTGTAATTTGCAAAAAGAATGAATGAAATTGAATGTGTCAAATTATTTATGTCCTTCAATATTAATTTCCTCTCTTCTAAGGTAATTAAGAATTGATTACCTTGAAATAGTTCCATGAAATTGATAACAAATATGAAGATTGTACTCATTTATTACATCCATTCGTTCTTCACCGCTGCAAAAGGTCATTCATTTTTTTTCATCTTTTAACATTTTTTTTTTTTTCAATCAAATCTTAATTTGAAAAAGTATAAGCTAAGAATGAATACAAAAATTTTGATATGTTAAAAATGAACGAATAATATTTGTCATTCATACTACAACATATGGGCAACACATTTTGATTATCATTAAAGAGAGAAAAAAAAAAAGAAAAGAATCGCCGACGATTATTTTTTCCTAATTTCCTAATTTCTATCACATTTTAGCTCTAATATTTTCTTTCTTTTCCTCTATTAAAGTATTACCTAATTAGAATAAATTTTATGGATTAATTTACAATAACTAATACTTGTCACAAAAACTTTTTTTTTTTTGTCAACATAAATAGACAAAATAATTTTCACATATGTTTATGCTTTTTATTTGATGGTTTATGTACAATTGCGTCTTTTAGTAATTTTTTTTTCTTTTTTTTTTTTAGCTTACAAAGAAAATCTTAATTCAATTAAATTTTTTAGATTTAAGTGTTAATTAGAAACAATGTTTATTGCATATTTCTTCATGTTTAATAGACAATTTTTCAAGCTAAATAATTATTTAAAAATATGGTAAGATAAATTTTACTTGTAAAAGCTTTCATCCGTAATGGATTTTTATTGTTTCAAAAATACGTGTTAGCTATAAATATCAAATTAAGCTATATGATAGAGTGTAAAAATAGATCGGTATGAAAAGAGAAAATGATTTTAAATATTAAATCAAATTTATTTCACAAATATGAAAAGCAATGTTTCATTGATAATTCACTAATTAATATAACATTCTAAATGCTCATTTCTGTAATAAGCAAATTGAAATCAAAACTTATTCAATATTTATTCTATTAATTCTATTCTAATATTTTAATTAAAATTCAACTTAATAAAATTTGATTTAAAAAAATAATATTCATATAAAAAAAGCATTGAAAAGTGACTTAGTTGACAAAAAAAAATGCTCAGGACAAAAATTTAAAAAGATCCAATGAAAGAGACAAAAAACTTTAGCCAAGTCTATTCAATTGTATACTTTACAAAAATTTTCTTTTTCCATTTTAAATAGAATTTTTTTTTTTAATTTTGAATAGAGGAAGGAACTTTCGAAGGTTATAATGTTAATGAGATTCGTCAAAGTTTTTCTTTTTTTTTGCACAGCCAAAGATGAGGAAATCAAGAAAAAAGGACAAAGAAAGTAATAATAATAGCAATTTTGAATTGAAACGATGAACTATGTTACAATTATTAGTTTTATGTTGAATGACAGACTAACAAATTATTTGAAATGGCTTAAAAAGTTTGAATTTAACTCTAAAATAATTTGAAACAATATTTTTTGCGTCTTTGTATTTCTTAAAATACCAATGTATGAGTGAGGCAATAAGTAGAAAGTAGCCTAGAAAAGTAATAAATAAAAGGATGAGTGAAGATTGAATAGAAATGGGACAAAATCCATACTCAAAAGCGAAAATGACCACAAAGATGACAATGGACAATCAATGGGAATAAATAGTCTTTCAAGAATTCTTCGGCATTCCACATTGGCTATTTTCATATTTTAAGAATTAACTGTAGTAAGAGAAAAATTTTATGTAAACATAAATTTTAGCGAAGTCATTGAATTTTAATATAAAAGTTAACCAATGCACAATACAATCAACTTAGTGTTATTCAATTTATTTATTCCTATTAAATGATTAAGATTTTAAATTAAAATAATTTGTCCAATTTTGAACAGATAAAAGCGTATCCTAAAAGTTTTAAGTTTAGGTTGACAAAAAAAAAAAATGCAAACACATATTCGAAATTACTCTAAAATGAAAGAGAAAATCTGAATGCATTTATGTGACATTTAAAATCTAATTTATGGAAAGAAACGAACAGATTTAATTCTTACAAAAACATATTTTATAAACAAGCTGCAAGCTATAAATAAATTGAAAATTTTTACTTATTTCATTTTGTTTAATATGAATCAATCAAAACAAAACTGTTATAGAATTAATAACTTTACTTTTTCATTAGAAAAAAGAAGCCATAATAGAATGTTTCATTCAATTTTTAGCATAATTCTTTTATTTATGAAATAATCATCTATTCTATCTAATAAATGGTGAAAAATTTTTAAAGCATTTATATTAAAAAGATAAAAATGCCAAAGGATTAAATTTGAAAGCCTAAACTGAAAAGGTAAAAGTGTTAACATAAAATAATGTAATCATATCAAAAAATATTTTAGCTACTTGTGATATTTTATGAGATCAATTCATATATTCAAAATAATTATATTACGACCAAAAATTAAAATTTTCTACATCATACACACATACATAAATCAAAAAAAGAAATTCTGGCCTAGAATAATTTTGCCTATAATAATCCTGGGCTATAATAATTCTGACCTAGAACAATTAGCACACACTTTTTTACCATATCTAAATATGAGAAATTTTTTAATAATAGAAATGTCTAATGTTTAAATGTGACAACAAGTTTAAATTAAAAAAAAAAAAAGAAAATAATGGTGCAAATTTCACCTATTACCAAATATAGAAAATACATATCAGATTGAAACATACATTAAGAGAAATTTCTTCAAATTTATTTAACAGATTTCTCTCAAAGTTTTCAGAGAGTTAAATTTACCAATTTTTTTGACTGAATATTTATGATAAAAATTTTGAAATAATAAAACGGATAAACATAAAAACTGCATTAGCAGTTAAAACTTGAAAATAGGATGAATTTAATTAATATGAATCATCGATCTGTGTGACAAATCATTGGCATTGAAATTAGAAAAACATTAGAAAAACGTGTACGTGTCTGTCTGTGAATGTGCGTTGTGTGTGCGTGTGTGTGAGTGTGATGAGAAAGAATGAAAGAATAATTGGAAATGAAATAGCCAATACAATTTCATTTTCATGAGCGCAAATTCGATCATTCAACAGTGTTAGTTGCCAGAAATATTTGCTCCATAAAAAAAAATAATAATAAAAATTATTTCTGAAAAATATTCAATAAATATTATTAATTATGGTATAATATTAGTTTTTTTTTCTCAGAAATTATTTTATTAATGGAAGAAAAACTGAATAATTAATAAGTTATCTATGAAAATAAATATAAAATTAGCAAAACTCCGAAAAGCAATATTGTGTTTTAATTAGATTACGGAATTGTTAGGAAAAGCAGAAGATTAGATATTTAAATAATTATCAAAGTAAATAAGCATATATGCGCCTCTAATTTTTTCAAATTAACAAATGAAACGACTGAAAAGTTTCGTACTTTGTTGATATAATGAATGAAATGAAATGAAGTGTGAGAAGGAAAAGGATTAGCGACAATGGAAATTATATCATTCATCACAGAGCTAAAAGACAATTTAATTTGTAATATATGAAACAATCTTAAAAAGCGCTTCTTCTCAATCTCAAATAAAATAAAAGCAATGAAAACAAAAATGAATAGTAAAATAAAAAGATTTTTAGTGTGAAATTCATCAGAACTATAAGTACAATTTCAAATTTCATTTAGATATATGTATAATCATTTCACATTTTTCATCAAAAAAGCATTCAAAATTACTATCGTAACGGAAACAGGATGAAGCATAGATTTAAGTATTTATAATTCTGAAAAATAATTTTTGTTAGAATCAGGAAAGTTAGTGAAAAAAAAAATAATCCTGGTATTATTCTATAGAAATAACAATTATAGAAATCTAAAGTGTTCTCATATCAATTGAATTATTTTTTATTGAATTGAAAAAATACTTTTCCTTATAGATAAGTTATAAAAAAATAAATAATATTTAGAACATCACATTCAGTGTATGATAAATTAATTATCAAAAATGTTTAAAATTATGCAAATGAATAATTTAAATGGGAATTTTTAAAGCAATATTTGACATATTTCAAAGTATTAATATAAAAGTTTGATTCTTCCTTTCATTTAGTAGCATTAAATTGAAATTTTAAGTAGACGATGATGTAGAATTCTTCTTTATGACTTCTGCTGGATATTGTTCACTGATGACATTGCCGCATGCAGGAAAAAAATGAAATGAACGTCGAGAAATACAGCTTAAACAATGCCATCGATTTCGCACATCCCTTATGATCCAAGCCTAAAATTAACTCAGTCAATTACAATTTTTAGATATTTGAGTATTTCGAGCGCTAATTTCATTCATTTCATTGTATTGGACTAAATATTTTAATAATAGTACAAATAATTAAATCATAAAAGTACAAACATTTTTTGCTCTTTCAGTTTTTTTTTTCTTTTTATTGAAATTAACTATCAAATTTGTCAAATTTTATTGATAGGAAAATTTTGAATTTAACTTAAAACTTAATGACATGAAAATAGCAATATAACTGAACTTACATTACAACTAAGACATTTAATCTGGATAGGCTCGTTTCGATTTTCTGGGATTCTACTGTTTGATTCCGTCAGTTCCCACTTCAATATGACAAAAGTAAGTAAATAAGTAAAGTAATGTATTGCATTTAAAAAATGAAAAGCTTATAATGAAAAAAGTACATGAAAACATATTCATATCCTAAAACTAAAAATATCATTCAGATAACCAAATTAATTTCAACCGAATAAATTCTCAACAATTTCAGTACAACCAATTCATAGCTCAAATCAAAAGAATGAATAACGTGTCAACTTTATTCCTACACCCACTCATACTGAAAGTTTACGGAGGAAAAAATTTTAATCTATCCATGATGATAAAAGAAGAGAAATGAAATAGAATACTGGTAGATGAGGAAGGGAAATGAAATGAAATGAAAACGGAATAGGAGGAATTGTCCCGAAGAAAAAAAAAAGTGAGGAACAGTTTCATGCAGGAATTAGAATGAGAGTACAGGAAATAATTCAATGAAAAATCGAAAAAGACACTCTCTGACACATTTCAACAGTTTAACAGTAATTTAACATTTTCTGTTTAGAATTAGTTTTCGATCATTCATTGAGAAAAGTACAACTTTAGGTGTATTAATCAGAGTAATCCTTATAAATAGGATTATCATTAAATTCAATATGCATTTCCTAAATTTAGTGTTAAAAAATCGAAGTTTTGGAAAAATGATAAGTATGAGAAAAGAAATAGCAGAAACATGTTTTTATAATAAGTAATATATTTTTTAATATATTTTTTTTTATAATCAGGATTAAGGTTCAAATGATAAGAAATATAAACTATTACAGTTTGTAAATTTTTCGAAAAAAACCAATTGAAATTATTATTGATTATTAGAAAATGGAAAGGTTAAAAATTAAAATTAAACTTTCAAATTAAACAATGAAAATGCTAATTTATGCATAAAATTTTCCGAAAAAAGTAATTAAAATCTTCTCAAAAGAATGCAAAAAAAAAAACAATTAACATTTTGAAAGGAATACAATTTATTCAGTGATAAATTCATAGAAAAATACTTTTCGACAAAAACAAATCTAAAAAAACCAATCGATAAACTAATTTTTCATTGTCGTCGGTTGTCATTATTGATTGTTTGTCACATTCAGCATGCAAAAATAATAGAACCAAATGCCTTTGCTAGGCTAAGCATTAAGCCTAGCAAAGACTAAGCATTAACTGATGCAAAATTTAAAACTGTCACACAAAATTATAAAATGAGTCGATTAACATTCACTATTCATGAAAAAAACTTAACTAATTAATAATCATTAATAAATTTAACAGCTATCAATTAACATTTTCAAGAAAGTTTTATAATGTTTAAAAAAATTGATAAAAAAAAAGAAATCTTATCGATTATTTTGGAAGTTTGTTAAGTAAACAAATAGACAATTATTTTTAAGCTATGAAAACGAACTTATAATTTTAAATTATTAATAAAATGAAGATGAAAATATAATTAAGCATTAGTAGATGAGATATGATTGACTATTTTCTAAAGAAAAATTTAGACGCAGATGAAAAATATGATCGACGGATTCGATTTTGCAAAATGAAGGAGGGAAAAGTAGATAATTAATTAATTGTATGGAAGTTACGGGGCGGTAATGAACCTTAGATAGTAATTGCACAGTACACGCACGGAAAACAACCATCATATTTCTTTTTGTGCTTTTCTTCCATCTTAACAGCTATGTCACCGCTGGGATTCAACTTTGCGCTATGGAATCGATCCATCAATGCTTTAATTGCTCAATGGAATTGCAGTTACTAAACCATTCATTGAACACCAGAGTCATTTTGCATTAATCCATTTCATTCCAAGTAGTTTTTTTTCTGGAAAATTTCTTAAGTTCATATTTACTAATTAGATCATATACTTTGTCTCTTTCTCTCTTTCACTTTCTTTCTTTGTACTAAAGATCATACTTATCAAAGCGCCTAAACAAGTTAACTTGAGATCAAATTTGCGCAATTTGAGAAAAAGAAAAAAAAAACTAATTGAACTATGACCTATAATTGTGATATGATCAGAAAGCTTACGTTTGAGTATACGTATGGATAAAAAGCTATCACATATCAAATGTTACCGAATGCTTATGAATTTATTTTTGTCCAGTATCAATTTGTTTATGCATTTCAAGGATCGATCATTAACACCTGTTTCACTCCACACATGAATTTCTTGAAATGTTAAAATTTCAATAAGTTTATTTTAATTAAGATATTTGATATTCATTTCTTTTCTCTTTCTTTCTTTTTAAAAAAAATATTGTATATAAAGCATTTTAGTATTGTGTATCTAATAGGTGAAGATAATCCGTTCTTAATTGTTTAGATGATAATGATGATGAGTTTACCTGCAATCAAACAATCTATTCGTTGTTTTATTTGTTTTATGACAATAAACATAAGGTTTGAGCTATAATTTTGCTGAACAAGGAAAGAAGGAGATGGATTGTCTGTCGATGTCGTTATCATTTAATGATAACAGTCATTGCTATGCGTTCTACAATCAAATTCATCTTAACAAGCACATATAAATCTTCATCTTCCTTCTTTTTTTCTTCTTTACATGAATTCTATTCAGTCATAATTTTTTCTTCTTTTTTTTTTTTTTTTTTGTCAATTAGATGTTAAAATTAATTTGCACACCTAATTATGCTTTGCTTTTGATAAATGATAAATTTACAAAGCACACTTGCTATGTTCAAAAAATAGGATACTATCAACTTATGATTATAATTTGAAATGTTTATTACATGAATGGATAATAAATTAATTAGAAGATGATGACGCTATCTTTATCATTATTATTTTATTCTGATAATCATAGAATGATGTAACAATTAGTAATACTCAAACTTTTGAATGGATTAATGATTCAAATAAAATTAATGTATATATTTTATTTATGCTAATATCTAATACTTAATTTATTCTAATTATCTTTGAAGCAATTGATTAGTAGATTAGTGACAGAAATTGAATATATTTTTCCTTATCACTGCATCGGATTAATAGATTTTAATAATTAAAAGAATAAGGAAAAAATAGATGATATTAGATTAAGCAAATTCAGTTCATTCGATCTTAACAAATGAATGACTGTTATTCTAAACAAAATTCAGTCTTAGACAAATTTATTTTCGAAATGAAAAGTCATTTATTAATATCATAGCTAGTATATCTGTAATATATCGTTCTGGATATTTCTATAATTTGTAAATTGATGTCTAACTTTATATTACTATTTCGCTTAGTCGTGTGTGTACTATAAGTGTAATGATTATGCGAGTTCTATTTAAATTAAGATTAACTATTCCAAAACAATAATAATAACAGGTATTTAACAAGTTAATATTTTAATATTTTAGTAATATTACTGGTGAAATTTCAGAGTTGATAATAGATATTATTTGATATTTTAAACTCTACCTATATTTCTGCATTTAAATGGTCCATCTTCAATATGCCAAAGAAAAGTTTACTTTAAAAATCAAAGGTTCATCACAATAGCATTTGGAATCTCAAAATATTCATTTATAAATTGGGTTGGGCAAAAAATTGAATTTCATATTTCCTTCTTATGTAGATAATAGCTAGCAAAATATTATTTAATGTGGAAGGTAACAAATATGACAGAAAGTGAGAAGAAATATATCTTAATTAAACATATATATATTTTATGTAAGTAAATATGAAATATGCTAGAATGGAGAATATCCTCTAAACAATTTACATTTTTGCTTACTTAACATAAGATTAAATCTTAAGTAACCAAACATGAAAATAGCTTTCACAATAAATAATATTTTGCCCACTATTATCTTAAATGAAGGAAATATGAAATTCAAATTTCGTCTAATCTATGAATGAATATTTTCAAAAGATATTAATGTTACTAAGTTGAGCTTTTTGACTTTTTAAAGTAAATTTTTCTTTAGTAAACGAGTTTTTTTGAATAAATAAGATATTATAAAATATTAACAATGGAAAAGAAAAAAATTTTTATAAATTGTAAGTAAGAATGAACAAAACACATTGAGCTGAAAAAATTCTTTTGCCAATTTAATTAATATGGAAATATTTTTTTTTTTCCATTTTTTTCTTTTTTTTTCTATAAGAATAATTCGTTTAATCTTTTCGAATATAGAATCAATTTCTTTGTTAATCTTAGGGATAATATTCATTATTTCAGTTCTTTTCATGTTCAATTAACATCTTAAATAGCATGAGTATAACAAAAGCGTTCTTTGCAAAAAATCTTTTATATGCTATTGTGAAGTTTCACGGGCATTTGTGTCGGGCAAAACATCATGAATTCCTTCAGCTAATCCGACAACTCAAGAAATTTTGATCCTAACTCAAGAAATTTTGAAATTTTGATCATCGGACAAATAACATTGGCAATGAATTAGCATCGTTAAGTGCCTTTTGATATTTTTGTTATGAGGTGATAAAGAATTTTGTTGAGGGTAATATGAAGTGGTGCTCGATTGAAGTGATCATTTGAGGACAACAGTTTAGCATTGGACAAAAATGTAACAGACTCAGAATTTGCGCCAACTCTCATATTACTTAATTCAGAAACGATAGGATAAAAAGCATTAAATGCTGAAGGATAACTTAGCACAGCTATGATTGGATAGGTTAGGAAATAAGAAGAAAAAACAAAAAAGAAGAAGGAGAAGAAGCAAATTGTGCTGTATAAATTCTATAATATTTCCTGTACAAACTATTTTAAAAAATAAAATTAAGATTGGAAAATTTTATAAAATTATAAAATCAAATCTACGAATAAAAATTTGCAGTATTTTAAAATTTGAAATGATCTGTTAAAAAGCACTAACATAAAATTATTACATTAAATAAGCGATTAAAAAGTTAATTTGTTAAATATAGTAGTAAAAAAGAAAATTGATTGTCATTGATTATTTCATTTATTAATTCAAAAATAATTTTTCATTTATATTTTTAAGTACACATGTATTACTAAATTTGATTAATGATAATTAATCATTATTCTGGGAGAGATGACAAAAGGCAACAAGAAAGTATACGGTGTTTACTGAATAACTGCAAAATGTAAGTGATATCGTATCTGATGAACTGAACGCCAGAGGGCTCCACATCACTTCAATTTGAAACGATACCGCCAATTAGAGCATTTCACTTTTTTTTTTGCTCACTGTTTGTTAGTAATACCTATCATTTCGATATTGAAGGAGAAATTTGAGAAAGTTGTGAGAAGGAAAGTTTCA